CACACACACACACACACACACACACACACACACCAGTGATGCCTCGGTGTATGTGTGTGGGTTGAAGCAGTGTCTTTGTCTAAAACGTCAAATGTACATCTTGTCTTGGGACTTCTCTACAACCTTCCTTGTTTACTTCTGAAACATTTCAACAGATTATGGTCATACGGGTAATGGAATCTACTTTTTTGTTTTCTTCATGGAAACAGGAAAGTCGCAGTCGGTCCCGAGCAAGAAGGAGATCTCTGTCCAGATCAAGGTGAAAATGTCTTTTGATGACCGCTTTTAGTTTATCAACTCAGGGTTCTCTTGAGAGTGATAGCCTGACTAACTGACAAGTTTACTTTTAACACTTTGACGTCACGTTTCGCTAATCGGCGATGTTTACCTCCCAGTTTCTTTGAATTTTCCCCAAAATACCTTTGCCTTTGATGGCAAAAGTTTTTACTATACAAGTATAAGCTTTGTGATGGCAAAATGTTAAAAGTGTAGACATTTTGTTTCCATAGTTTAGAACATTCAAGTGGCTGGATGCAAGGCTCTGACAAAAGGCATTATTTGATTTGGTGTTTATCGGAGTCTTGCACCCACACATTGATTTGTCATTGTTGTTATACCTCTTCTGTTGCACAGTACTAAAGATATGCAAACGTAACAGTTAACTTTGATGATTAAAAAAAAATATTTGGTTCTAATGAAGAGTAAATTAGAGAATACAGCTGGTAAATAATGATTGCTTTTTAATTTCAAAACCTCTCTTGCATTTGTCAATATTAATTGTCGTAACATGAATATTTCATTTATTGACGCACATGCTATGTATTCCACAATACGTGTTCAGCGTGTATTCTCTTGTATCCCGCTTTTTCCTGTCCCACTTTTCCTGTCCCACTTTTTCCTGGTCCCTGTAGAATGGGAATGTGAGGCACAGACTTCTATCTATATATATATATATATACAAAAGTGGACTTGGGAGGCTTTGTGCACAAACTCCTCCCTCATTACCTAACCCACACCTTTGAAACTTTGCAGGCGTCCACAGCATCCATGTGGCTAGGACCTAACTTTTAAAAAATTCACGCAAACTGTGTTCCCCGATTTTTCCAAAATGCTTTGTTTTGTCCACACAGTTCTAGCATTTCAGTGCTGCGTGCAGTGTTCAAGACATATTTCAAGACTTCCGTTCTAATGCTGTGCACACTGAACCCACAATGACTTGACGATAGAGTCCGTTCATCGAACGGGGTACCCAGCTAGTTATTGTCAAAGATAGTACATAACAAGATGGGCAACTCAGCCAAAAAGTGTCCGACGGAAGTCCGCTCTTTGCTTCAGATGGCGCTGCAGTGACAGTCTGTTTTGAAGCTCTCTTTCGTTTCTCAAGAAGAAGAATAAGAATAGCACCTCCTTGCATGCGCAGATCGACTGCTGTTCATCAGCTGTTCGGGTTTGTTCAGTGCGAAGTTTTAGGTTTAAAAAAATTTTAATGACCTCTCGCCTTTCATTTTAAAGTCAAATTAAACGAAGAAAACAGTCACCTCTTCCACGCTGACCATTTTAAAAAAGCCTTCTTCTGAAATTTGAATTTTTATTTATTCAAAAACTTGCTAGTTTCACTTTGATTTTTTTAAACACGAGTAGGATAACTCTGTTCGCAAAGAGTGCACATCTGCGAAGAGGGCGCCGCCGAATTTTGAGGACACTGTTTTCATTGGCTCAAAGAGAGGAGTGGACCCTCTTGTTATGTAGACTCTTTGTTATTATCTAAAGACTTACCTTGTTTTGACTGGTTGGTTTGATGTGACATGAGTGCTGCGATAATGATGGCTAACATTTCGCTTTCCCCGTAGTTACGGATGCTGCTGCTCCGACAAGTAGGTGTCCACAAAGTGTCGTTTGCTTTGACTTTGTCAGGTTGCAGTATTGGAAAGTTGTTTGTTTGTTTTGTTTTTATTAATTTTTCCCCCCCCCCCTTGTTTTGCAATATAAGCTCATTTAGAACATGATTACATATAGAAATCCCTGAATCCCAACCCATCCCTCCTGCTTTTATAAACAAACACTCAGTGTTAGTTACGTTAAGCCCTGTTGTTAGTTACAGCGTATATCAGCCTTTATATTCTTTTACTTGCCCAGATATACTGAAGCCTTTTAGAAAATGCAGTGTTTTGAATTAAAGATGAAATCCATCCAGTCATGGAGGTTGTTATTCAGTTTTTTAGGCATATATATATGTATATACGGTACCAATAAAAATCGTCAATGGTTGGACTGTTGTGTTTTTTAAAGTGCTTCAGTATTTGTTGTTATCGTGAATGGCATCTGTAGAAGAGTTATTTAATACTTTTTTATCTTCCTTTTGTTCCAGCCCAACCCTACAAATTTGTTTGCTCCCTGCATATATTCCAACACAAATCTTGTTTTTAAACTCTAGAATTTAAGGTTTCTTTTGCATTTTATTTTGCAGCCCTATGTTTTTAAATAGCTGTTTTTTAAAATGTTTTGGTCAAAATTAAACCACTTTTTCTATTTGTCAATTGTAGGCCTAATAGTTGAGAGTTTTCAGATAAGAGCTGTGTAGGAACATAACATTTTCAGTCATTATTTTCTTTCAATTTACGTAACTTTCAAACTGACAGCTGCATATTTAGCGACATTGGTTGCTTGCTTTATACTCTCCTATAAAATTTAAAAAACAAGTCTGTATTACGTCTGTACTAATTCTAAAATTTTTATGGAGAAGTTCTCATTACATTTGTGAGGGTATAGACTGCCCTGAATGCTTTCAAATTATTTTGTCCTTGCAGATGGGAAGAGGAAGAGAGCGAGGACTGCGAGCCGAGCAGATTGCAGACGTCTGAGGGGACTCCTGGCTGCTGCCCCCCTCACTACCGTTTGCCAACCGTCTCTTCCCTTTGTCGTTCTAGGTCCCTGTCCCCCAGTCTCAGACGCAAGATGGCCGACATTTCCCTCGACGATACCATTGACCCCAGGCCACCTTTTGTTGTCAGAAAGGTTCAGTTCTTTATGAAAACTATTTCTACTGATTCACATTTCACCCACTCTGCTGCATCGAACTGCACAACTTTTGCTTTCACTGTCCTTGCCCACCTATTCTCTGAGTGTAAAATGAACCTTGAAAATATGAACACATTTCCACTTCACTTTTGGACATACCTACCTGTTAGAATGTGAGGTAGCGTGGTAAAATCAGGCGCTTGTAAAAATAATGAATAAAAAGGAACTTGCATTTTTCCCACCTGGCACTTTTTATCAAAACGTTTTTCGGCGCAGCACTTTTTATGTCCATTTAAGAACCCATGTCTGTGTGGATTTTACTGAAAAATATTAAGTAAAGCTAAAAAAATGTAAATTGTCAGTTTCCACGGATTCTCAAGCTGTAAATAACCAAACTTTGGCCGCCATTTTCTAGCTAATTTAACATCTGAAACCAGGCGACCCCCACTTCCTTCAATCGCAAATATCTCGACCTGTATTCTGGAGAAACGGGTATTTCTTTCAACGAAAGCAAGGAAAATTAACAACCTTTAAGACTATACCAACAACTCCACAAGCCCAAAAATTGACGAGAGCCCGATTCCTGCGTGTCGTGACACAAATCTATTTGCTTTTGTTGCAATGCATATTTGGGTCCAAACTGGCTTTTGTAGTTGTAGTTGTTCACGATTAAGATACGATTCAGCACAGATTTTGTTGAGTGTATACCAAATGCGGTGTTAGATATAATAGTTTTAATGAAACCACTCCTTCCATTTTGTGTAGCACTACATTGTCAGATATTTTTTGGTTCTTGCATGCTACATTTTTAGATATCGAGACAACAAATGAGAAAAAACTTTTGTCAAGAAAGTAATGCTAGTTGTTTTTTTTTATAACTCCTGTTGTATTTCTTCTATGTATAAAGAGTTAAAGAAAGATACAGTTTAAAGAAATAAAACTAGAACATTATGTTTAAAAAAAAAATGAAATTGATGCAGCACTACTTTTTCGGAAAAAGTGTGAAAATATAGTGTGACAAATATTTTTTCAAAAATCTGTCCCAGGCCGCAAAAACTACATGTCATGAATCTTGTGCTTACTGTGTGTACTATAATTACTGCTATTTAATTTTTCTTTCCATTTAGAGTTTAACAATTATCTTTGAGATCTTTTAGTATTGAATAAGTCATAATATGCTCAATGAAGTTGATTAATACATTTTAGAGTTTCACTTTATTTTGATAATTTGAATCCCTTCCATTCTCTACAGCCATACCAACCAAGACGCTCTGCTTATAATTTCTGATTAATCTGTAGAATCGGGAGGCGTAAGTGAATGAACTTTGAAGTTAACGCGACTGCGGAGCGTTTTAAAAATCTGCTCTGCTTTCAGTGTGGACTCATTTTGTCATGTGTTCTCGCTGTTCTCGATTTCAAGCTTTCTCAGTTTTGTTGTTTGACGTAGTTTGTTTTGAAAAACCTTTTTTATTATTTCAAAGACGTGAGTTCTGAAACAAGTGTCTGAGCTATTGAATTTTGTTCACTTTTTCTGTAAAGTTGGCCTGATGTCTGATATCAGTTTTATTTTTCAATATTGTGCAGACTTTTATGGACAGGAAATTAATGGGTAAGGGAATTTTGGGGCGATATGCTAAGTACAGTATGGATAATCCTTCTCTTTTATCGAAATACTTGTATTATGTGAGTAGCACTGCCTTAACAGACCACTCAAGAAAATTAATCTCATAAAAGAGACCGGGTTTGCTTTCATCCAAAGAACATGGGTTTATTTTTTTAGGTGCAGCATTACCAGCATACCACATTGTATTCTATCAATTTCAGTTTCCACTGTCTGTGAGCAAACAAAGTGAGCTTTGATAATATTTGTATGTTTAAATTCATAATATATTATTACAAGACATAAAATTTATAAATCTTTATATAAGAGTGTTCTGTTTTATTTCTGAAACTATCTGGGTTAAGCGGCTTGTTGTGAAATTCCCTACTGATACTGCCAAAGTGATGGTCTTTTTACAGCTGTTGTTACAACTATGGTTTGATACGAAACTGTCTCTTCTTCACCTGTCGTGAAAGCAACGGTTTGACTCCAACTGTCTCTTCTTCAGCTGTCGACGGATCTGATTGGACGCAAACCAGGGGGAGTAACAGACAAGGGAGCTGAGAGCAAGCCAAAGCGGAGTGCTTCCCCTTACAGGTCCCCCAGTCGCATAGGTGAGTGGCATGCGCTGACTAATTGACTAATGGTGTATGCATCCTTCAGCATGTGACGTTTCCATTGCTTATCTGTGAACATCCTTCAACATATGTCGTTATTTGTGAACATGCAGCGGATACTTATGGTTGGTTATCTGTGAAGAATGACTGAATGATGTTATTTTTTTCTTACCTCTTTAAAAAAAAAATCAGTAGTTTTGATTTTTCAGAAATTGACTTAAATATACAAACTCAGAACACGGAGTAAAAAAAATTTATGTGAAAGATTTGATTTACTGAAGAACACTGAGTAAAGAAAACTTCAATGAAAGATTTGGTTTACTGAAGAAGCACTTTTGCCAGTCTGATGGGCATGTCGAATGTTAAGGGGAGCCAGCACCTGCTCCGTCTTGCTAAAATGAACATAAGTTTTAAGTGACAGCAACAACAATACCTGGTACTGTGGACTTTTCATTATAGTTGTGGCACTGATTTCATTAGGATACTGTGTCTGTTTGTAGTATGACCATGAAGAATTTTGTAAAGTATACGTTGATCAAAATGCCATTTTGGTAAATGAAACTTTCTCCTTTATTGTAGCAATGTGATTCATTTTTTGTTGAAAGATTTATGTTCATTTTCCCAGGTATTGTATTCTTCAATAGCATTCTTTCCTGTTCAAAGCTAAAGATAATGTCATTGTTACTTATTTACTATCATAATTAAACTTCCAAGATGATTGACCTCATAAGTTAATCGAAATTTCTACTGTTTTCAATGCATATCAGGAAAACGAAAGGTCATGGAAGCATGTAAGATGTGTATATTCTTGAAGAAATCTGTAGCATTTTGTAAGCTTTGCGAGAAATACCTCGGACAACCTTACTGGTTGCATGTTAAGTGCCAGGCTGCTTTGAGGCACAGGAAACATAAGCTTAAGAACAAATCAGGTGACTGCTACGCATAGAAGCTTTCTGCATGCTGCACTCCATATTACTTTTGTCTCTCTATCTAAATGAATCTTTAAAGTTGGGAATCAGAACTCCTCCAGTGGGTTTGTTGGTTGTTGTTTTTTTCAGCATTACTGCCCCTTTTTTAATTTCAGTTTTAAATATTGGTTTGTGGTGCTTTTTACTTTGAACGTTTAGTTTTCTTGACCACAAGTTTTCTTGACCACAAGTTTTCTTGACCACAAGTTTTCTTGACCACAAGTTTTCTTGACCACAAGTTTTCTTGACCACAAGTTTGATTCTCTCACGACATGATTTGGCCAGAAGAAAAGTTCCCTTTCAGAAGGTTAAAAATCTTTTGACATAAAAGATTTTATTTCTCTTC